ACAGCTCAGCCTACCCTACCAGCAGTCTGCTCTGAATACAGTGAGGGGTTAATCATATTATAATTTTCTTTCTGATTCTAAAAATATGACTAACATAATGAAGACAGCAGATTTGGGAAAACAATACTAGCTTGATAGGACGGGGTGATCTCACCCCACCCAGTTTGGAGAAATTGGGAACTGACGGTACGCCAGCAGGTCAGGACGACCTGGCACAAGACACGAGGAAAACAGGAACCCACTGAAGAATGGATACTTATTTTTGTTTATGCTTAACAAAAGAAGGAAACACGTACTTACTAATCCATTAGGAACATGTACTCACTGGCTAAACTAGAGCAAATGTTAAGAAGTGTTGTAGTCACGCGAAGGGAAAGTTACCGAGAAGGGGAGGGGGCGACACCCCAGAAGGCCTATAAGGGGACAGACCTGAGACTTGTGAATTGAGCATCTTGTTGTACATGCTGAATGTATGTCAGATAGTCGCTCCCAGCTTGCAACCTGATATAGAATAATAAACTGGTGACTTGCAACTACTCCTCGACTGTGCTGTGAATCTCTTCTCATCAACGGACCCGGCGAAGTTTGACTCCAACAACTGTCTAAAGTGCGAATTGATCTCTCTAATCTCATTAAGTTAACTGATGTCGTCGGCGCCTCGTTAACTTACACAGCGGATAATAAACGGTACTCAGCAAACAAACCTTATAATAAACTATAAAACGTATTTCAAATATGATGTTTTATTATTCTCCTTACCGTGAAACCATGCTCTTGTCTTCGGCTCGTCTTTGATTTGAAAATAGCTTGAGCAGCGTTGCCGGTGTTATGCCGAAAAAGGCATCCCTGCCGTAGAATGCATGCCTGTCTCTAAATGACCGATTGGTGGCTGATCTGAAACGAGTTGAGCTACTTTGTCGAGTAAGGCTACCGTAGTGCTAATCAATAGTAAAACTCTAACCCTAACCCCCAAAAAAACTCTAAAACCCTAACCCCTAAAACCCTAACCCTAACCCCCAAAACACCCCTAGCATCAGGAACTGCCAGCAGCAAATAAAATTTTGGGGTGGCACCCGGGGTGGCCAATCGGATGTCAGGGGTGTCAAGTGCCACCACGGACACCCCACTGGCTCCGCCACTGAACAGAAGGTTAAAGCATGTGAGCAGAGCAATATTCGGACCATAAGACGCAGTGACTTGAGAATAAGGGGGAGAATAAGTCTTATGGTACGAAAAATACGGTAGGTCTTTACTCTGTTTCCCCTCTCTGCCTTGCTTTCTGTTAAATGTCTTAAACAAATATTCTAATGCATTACAGTAGTGGATGGTGTCTTGACCCTCTTGGATTCTGAACCACAGTAATTAGAATCTGTTGTGAGTATTGTATTTTACTATTTAATCATATACTTTAATACACTGCAATAACTGTGGGTTTTATATTTAATGTTTATCAGTCCAATGCTTCGTCTACTGCTAATTCTGTCATGTATTGTGGTTTTTGTTCACTTAAGTTAATTCTGTAAGTTGTCCCGCTTCTAATGGAAAAGTTAAATTTTTAGTTGTACTGTTAATACTTATGGTCAGGCATTGTACAGCAATAAGCGGAGCGAAAAGGGTGGCAATTGCCACCCCCAACAGAGCCCAGCGATTAGTTAATTGCTTCAGGTGGTTGGTTCCGCCCGTGTGGGCGTGACAGATTGGTGTTCATGATTTTGTAAATGTTTGTTGTGTTTATTTAACAAACATTTACAAACTCATTGTTTATTATGAGTGTGCACGAGAAAAATATTCAGGCAAAACTTAAAGGCTCATATCGTAACCGGGCAGTTTTCGAATCAATAAAGTGACGTCTTTGTTTTTTGCGCATGCGCGTCATTGCGTCTTTGTTGTTTTGTGCGCAAGCGTGCCAGTTCAGTGAGCCGTTCACATTGAAATCTGATATTGCCCGCATTAAAAAGAGTGATGAGAACAGGTGAACAAAAAATCCGATCTGAGCAGGAAATCAGAATTGAGCATTAAGGCCTGCAGTGTGAACGTAGCCTCAGTTAGCAAGATGTGCTAACTGATGCAATCGTTTTCATTGCCCTTTGTGCTCAGTAACGATGTTTAAACCGACAACGTTACTACGACCCCAGATGCATCTAGATTCACACACAAAGAACGGAATGTATGTAAAGCATTGTGTTTTACATTGAGATGCATTCAGATGCAGAATCAAGTGTACTTTTCTGTCAGATATGGAATACCGGGTGAAGCCCAGCAGGGAGGCTGAATATTATATTTTTTATATTTTTACGGTGATATTCCATTAATTCGATCGTCAGTGGTAGTGCATTCATCTAATGGAGAGGTTTGGCATATACAGGTATTAATGACACCATTGATGAAACACTACCAAGACTTAATGTTTCAATATCTCAATGAAAGTGATGTGTACTTGTACTACTCAGACATGGACAGAGGTTTGCCTTTTGGACCGAGGAAGCTTCACACCTGCTGAAAGCGAACTTGGAGCCTCTCTTGAGGGTGAACACTCCTGCTGTTCTGCAGCCAGACTCTATTGGGATGCACCCACAGATTCGATTGCTTAGCCTTGGTATCCCGGATGTATAACTCTTATTTTTAACCTCGTATTTTTACATGTGAATTCAGACCATCGAATTGGAGCAACTTTGGAATGTTCTCTGTGAATTTTTGAAACTTGAGTTTTTTGTAATTTGTATCTTTAAACCCTGAATTTGTTTTATTGTGAATTTTTGAAAATGGAAAAATAGCAGTGAAACTGCATTATAGAAAATCTGAAGACTGTAATTCAGAGGCAAAAAAAATCTGATGCATATTTCCAATGCATAAATATTCAATGTTAGAATTTCAGTGGCATACAAAATTCAAATTGTGATGAGACAGACTTGTTTCCATAATAAGTGCATACGATATAACTGATCAGATGAGATTCTTCAATTCTACATGCAAAGTTTGCCCTACTCATGGCGTTTCAGACCTGTACCTTCCATATCAAAGGGGCCATGAATGTTGGAAGCTCCACCAAAACACTGAATTAAAAAAAATGTTTTGAATAAAATGAATGAAATAAAATTCATTAAGCTTTATAAAAGCTGTAGTTTCAAAACTGTACAAGAGCATACCTTTGGTAAAGGAGCAGCTGTGATTTTCAGGGAAATCTGAGAAGGTGACCTGAGAAATTTCTCTCACACTGGGTGATTTGACATGGAAGGACTTGTACATGTTGATGTGTGTGTATCATTATCACAAAGAAACTTATACGAGTTACCCAGTTGTTTACAGTCCACGATAATGCCATTCACAATAAACAAATTGTAAGAGAGGTAGGCTCCAGTTTAAAATATACATTACACAAAACAGTTGCAAAGCACTCCTATTCTATGCATTTAAATGAGTATTTGTAATGTAACTTCTTATCACCCTCCAGATCTTCGGTCCAATAGACATTCAAATTGCTTGCTGCTGAGCGAAAAGTAGACCTGAAACCAAACACTCCAAGCTGCTCTGAATATGAACACAAGTGGTCAGCTGGACACCTTAGTCGCATGGTAGGCACAGGTGTATACGGCGATGTGTCTCGGCTATGGAGTCAGAATAGTTATAGTGCCATATGTACTTGTATGTGTACTTTCCAATTTGCGCCCGTAAAAAGAAATTTGCTCGCACTGAACACAATTTTCATTCGCAAAAAAAGATATTTTGCAAATGCAAGTCAATATTTTTTGTAAATGCGAAACCAAACATCTTCATAAAAATATTTTTTACAAAGATAGAATGGTTTTCAAGTACAAAACCTCTATTGCAAATCCAAGTCCTCTTGCAAATACAAACCTGCGAGTGCAAATTCACACTTGCGCACATAAATAATTTTGGCACTAACTTCCCTAGCGCTTTGAAGATAAATATTTGCTCGCATTTACAAAAAATATTGACGTTTATTTGCAAAATATTTTTTTTTTGCGAATGAAAATTGTTTTCAGTGCGAGCAAATTTCTTTTTACAGGTGCAAATTGTAAAGTACACATACAAGTACATATGGAACTATTCTGACTCCATACTCGGCTGTCTGCTTGTGATCCGATCGCCCAATACGCATTTTAAAACTAAATGTAAACAGGCCCGGAGAGTTTCGGGTCCGTACACCCACATTTTTTTGCTTTTTGCATAGTAAAATATCAGAGCTAGTGCTCTCTTTTTGTAACCGGATACAGTTCTCATTGTTTCTATCCGCCATGAAATGACAAGGTATTTCTGTTTCGCAACTATTTCGCGCATATCTTCACTACAACTGCCTAGTGGTTATGCGCTGGGTCTAGCGGAAGCCCACCTATTAACGCAGCGTCTTCCGCGTTCGGTGCAAAGCCCTGATGTGGGCAACACAGAAAGGTACGATTATCGCTGAGGCTACTGGTTGTGCTAAAAACGTTTTTTTTCCCATCAGTAAATAGCAGGATTATCAGTTCCGGCCACTTTTTTTTTTTTTATTAAAACATGTCTTGCTATATTCGGTCGCCGACTCTTGCGCTTTATATGGGATTAACAATACTTGGGTGAGTAAATTACATTGTCTATTATGTTGAATTTCGATAACTGTTTCAGTTTTAAATAAGTGTCTACATTTTGAGAACATTACAGTAAAGCGTATCCACTGGCTAATTGTGCAGCTTTAAACTAACATTTAAACGTTACATTTAAACATAATGTGAAAAGAAATAAAACACGTGAAGACGGGTACGTGTCCATTTTACTTAAAACCCTTAATGTTCTTAAATCAGGCTATTCTAGGGATCATGCTCATTTAAAGGTTTAAAAAGACAAAATCGGATTTTGGTAATCTGGGAAGTTTGAGTTCTTGCTGCGATGCACTGTTTGATGCAGAGAAACGCATTACAGGCACGTATTACAGACACGAGCTGGGAGCCACACTTGTGGCGTCTTCATGCGGTCAGTAGTATCTGTGGTGATGTAGCTATAGTGATGTTCTGTAGGCTGTGTATGTCAACCAAGGTGTAATCCGAAAACGGACAGCAGTCAGGAATCTGTACTTATTTGCGGCCAGCTTGCTCTCACATAGAAAGATTGCGATGGGGGCGAAAAGAGCATTTCCCCAAGGAAATCTCTCTAATAATACATTATAATAATGTATTATTATGATAATACATAATTATCATTATTATTATCATCTACTGTTTCACATACAGTGGAGAGGAAAGCCATTTTATTTTATTAAAATGTATCCAAGAAAATGTTCCTTCTTGATTACTCTGCAATATGGTGGAAGGAAGACAGCATAGACGATGAGGGTCGAATAGAAAGTGAAAATATCTGTATGAAAGCACTTCATCAAAGTGTGAATTTAAATTCCTCTGCCAATCTGTTTGCGCTAGAAATGACAATAAAGTAATTCTTTTGTAGCACCGTCATATCTGATCAGTATTGTAAAGCATGACTGCAGTGCACGTTTTTGTTGAAAGAGCAGAGATTCAGGTTTGGCGAACTCACCCAATAATGCGATGCCAATAAATGTGTCATTTGTTTTTATTCTCACTTTGACTTACATTCCATGCATTTTCTGTAACTGCCTGTCTTATTCAGGGTCATGGTGTTATGGGCGCGGGGCATGATGTAGGCAGGAACAAGTGAACCTAGGGTTGGGCGATAGGACAATAGTTGAACTTTGAAGCTTAATGTCATACGTACAAAGTACAGCGTACAGAGCACAATGAAATTCTTACTTGAAAACCCCTCCCTCACAGACAAAACATGGAATTCACACATGCACACCTACAGGTAATTTGGTAACTCCAATTAGCCTCAGCATGTTTTTGGACTATAGGGGGAAACTGGAAAACCCACAACTATGTGGGAAAAACATGCAAACTCCACACACATCGAGCCATGGCAGACACTCAAACTCTGCTCCTTGGCCACAGCGGTAACCACCGCACCACCATGCCACCCTTTGACTTAAATTATTTTACTTAATTTACTACGATTTAATACATTGTAATACATTTCTTCAGATTGCAAGTGGCAACCCTAGGTTGGGTTCAACCTACAAACACACTCTTAAAAGCCTTCCATTGTAAGCAATTATTAGTGAGAGATATTTATCTAGAATATTGAGACATTCTATTAATTAGTTCCCAATGTTTTAAATAGTTGTGTTACGACCTGGTCTAGGGGAAAGGCCTTAACAAAATGGAGTGAACAGAGAGGCGACAAGATAGGTGGGCGGTGAAAGCCGTGACTGGTTATGGTCATAACAGGACAGTGTACAGTGGCTACAGTAAATCCAGGTGCAGACTTTGAAGGTGGCCCACAGTCAAAATAATAAACAAAATCCCAACTGACTGTGCCAAACCCGGTTACCAATCCAGAGAGCAAAGAGAGAAAACTGATACATGAACCAGGGTCAGATGCACAGCAAAACAGCTCTGATGTAGTAGGTACAGTGGCTTTTCAGTCCGCGGCAGTGGAAACCCCAGCAGTAGATGCCCAGAGTGAAGACGTGATGGAGTAGCAGAGGGTGGAGGAGCAGGCGATGGAGTAGCAGGGGGTGGAGGAGCAGCTGATGGAGTAGCAGGGGGTGGAGTAGCACGGGATGGAGTAGCAGGGGGTGGTGTAGGCGATTGGTAATAGGTTACAGCAAGGGGAGTGGTGAAGAGCTGGAACAAAAGGGTTGGATCGAGATGGAGGGAGGGACCTGTGAGAGACCTGAGAGGCATCTCACACAGTGTAACAGTTGACATTTTATTAGTTTGTTCTTGTTTGGTTAAATCGTGGCCACGTTTTATTAGTTCATTCGTGATATATTTAAATGTGGTCCTGATATATATATAATTTTGTTATATGATGACCAGGGTTTCATATGTACTAGGTAATGTTGAAAATTACCAACGTCATTAAAATTGCATATCTTGCTAAGTTTTGATTCCTATGACTGAGTAAAAATGTTTTTGCATAATTTATTGATGGTTTAAATATCATGAAATGCCATGTCGATATTAACATCACACATTGTGCAGACAGGCTAGGCTACTCCAAGAGGCTAAACGGCGCGTATCAGTGACTAACCTCACATTATTAGGTTAGTCTGTCAAACCTGAATGTCTTCTTTTAGGAGACAGGTGCATTCTAGTTGTGCTGTGATGATACTTAAGTTTGCAATACTGACAGACACATCCTGGGCTGTGCCCTGCGATGGGTTGGCGCCCCATCCTGGGTTGTGCCCTGTCTTGCGCCCGTAGCCTCTGGGATAGGCTCCGGACCCCCCACTACCCTGAATAGTATAAGCGATTACAGAAAATGGATGAATAGAAACTGACAGACAGCTGCATTTTCATTCATTTTTAATGTGAAGTGCTTCCACACAACAGTGGCTCCGCTCTTTATTTGGACCCACATCTGCTGGGCTCTGTCTTCCGCCGTATTGCCAAGTCATCAAGAAGGAAAAATTGTTTCATTTGTCTGTTTAATCAGTGCTTCTTTTTAAAAATCAGGTAATTGAGTTGAAGTAATCGTGACAGTCATAAGAGGCCTACTATAACTTCTGCACGCAAGATTTGACTGTAACCTATCTGAACCAAGTGGACCAGAACCTTGGAGCTTGCGTGGCCAGATCCTGTTTCCTTACTCTGGAATCTCACTGTGTCTTGGCCACCAGACCATCTTAACAGGGTCACATATGCATCCTAGCAGCCAGCGTTGGTAGCTCAGTAGCTCTGTGCTTAGCACACTTGCCTCACGCCTTCACCAATGGTGCATTGAATTCCTTGCTTGCTGTTTATGTGTGTTAACATGAACAATTTAAAATGTGTCCTTTAACCTTATTTGTTACTTTCAAAGGATTATCCTTGCCTTTGGCTTGTATGCTACAAATCTGAGGTAAGATCAATAGATGAAATATTTAATCTCATAACAATGATCTTTTTATTAATTCCATTTTAACTACTAAGTGATAAGGGCATTGTGGGTCTGGTTACTGTGGTTCTGTTATCTGGAGAGCAAGGATGTAAATCTTTGTTTCTAGTGTTCGAGTACAGAAAACATTCACAGATTGATGCTTAACAGCTCCTTTATTCAACAGATGTTCCATCTCAAACATCCAACCCACTTCTCATGGAAAGACTTGGTGGACGTAAGTGTTCACACATAATTCCGTTGTACAGTTCGCTAACAGATTTAGAGAACTCAACAGAATTCATGTTTACTTTCACAGCTAAGGTACAAGATGGAGCAATTAGATATTTTTTTCCCCTTCAATTTTTCTTTTAGCCTGTATAATTTTTATTGAGGCTTCCACAGGATGATCCAAATGTCATCTCATTGTATTTGTGACAATAAAGATACCACATATCTTGCACAAGAATAATTACTATTTAGAACATACCATGTAACTGTTGGCCTTCAGACAAAACACCCGGATACATTTGTCTTCACCTCTGGTGACTTCAGTCATGTCTCCTTAGACAGGACGCTTAGTACTTTCACCTGGTTTGTGAACTGTCCCACTAAAGAAAACAAAACACTGTACTTATTGTATGCTGATGTTAAAGAAGCTTACAACTGGACACCCATTCCACCATTGGGCAGATCAGACCACAACTTGGTGCACCTTCTTCTCCTTTATGAGCCAGCCACTGTCAGAGCTGTAAGGGGGATGGTCAACGGCAGCCTGTGCAGCTCTGCAAGACTGTTTTGAATCAACTGACTAGGATGCTCTTTCCAAGCCTCATGGAGAGGACATAAATGGTCTCACGGACTGTGTCTCAGAATGCATTAGTTGCTGTGTGGAAAATACTGTGTCTCAAAAATCCATACGCTGCTTCCCCAACAACAAGCCTTGGGTCTCTAAAGACATTAAACGCTGTATGAATGAGAAGAAGAGAGCTTTCATTTCTGGACACAGGGAAGCAGTTAAAAGAGTACAGAAGCAGCTGTTTGTAAAGACAAGTGAATGGCGGTGTCAAATCAGCACTTCCCCTCACCTTAACAGTCGAACACCCCCCCCCCCACTCTGCCCGCAACACCGACTACTGTACACCATCTACCACCATCACTGAGGACCTAGTTAAGAAAAAACTATGCTGACTTCATTCTACTAAGGTGTTGGGCCCTGATGGCATCAGCCCACAGGTGCTGAAGATCTGAGCCTCCCAGCTCAGTAGCGTTCTTCTCAGAATCTTCAACATGACTCTGAGTTTCCAAAATGTGCTAGTACTATGGAAAACATCCTGTCTGGAAGCCGGTACCAAAGAAGACATGCCCTTGTGCCCCATTTGATTACCCACCTCACACTGCGTGAAAGTTTTTAGCTAATTTACCCCTTATCCTTTATAAGGAACTAGTTACATAATCATATACGTTAGTTGATTGAAAACAGAATATATATATTTTCTCCTATCTTCATCATCATCATCATCATCATCATCTAAAGAGTTTATACTGTATTTTATTTGATACCTATTATGTCTTAGCAGAACCAATTTCTCTGCAGGATCAATTAAGTTTTTTTTTCTGATTCTGCTTCAGTCTGCTTATTTAATCTAAGTAGAAGATGTCTTGGTTTACTTGTATAGCCCAGGTCATAAAATCCATTACCTTACTGTATTCTTCTGACCTTTAGCCAGAGGGAAGACCTCTCCAGAAAGAGGAGCTGGAATGTTGAGTCTCCTGAGAGGTAGGTGTCTCACTCCTTTGTAGTTGTCACTTTGTAGTGACATCAATCAACAATGGGTTAAAATTCTTAGCTTCTTGCAGTAACGTGAGCCTGTAGTACATGCACAAACCATGTGCCTTATCCTGGCAGGTAATGAATATTCTCTCCTTCAGGTTACTATACAAACAGCCCAGTGCGACAAGGGGGTAAGTAAAGATAATGGTGTCTTTTATATACCATTATACCTTAACAAATACTGTAAGTGCTTACCTGAATGGCTATTATGTAAGTCTTTGGATCAGGCAGGCTAAATCCATCCATTTACTGAAACTGCTTATCCTATTCAGGGTCGTGGGGGGGTCTGGAGCCTATCCTGGAGGCTATGGGCACAAGGCAGGATGGGGCACCAACCCATTGCAGGGCACATACATACACACACACACACCTACAGTATGGGCAATTTGGTAAACTCCAATTAGCCTCAACATGTTTTTGGACTGTGGGGGGAAAACAAAAGTACCCAGTGGAGACCCCCCCCTCCAACAACACGGGGAGAACATGCAAACCCCACGCGGAACCCTGGATAAGAGGGGTGAGGCAACAGTACTAATCAATGCACCACCATGCCACCCCGAGGCTAAATCAACAGAAGATGAGCTAATAATCAACATGCAGTAATGTGGGCTAGTAGAAAACAATGGAATGATGGGTGTTTCCTCCTATAAGGCGCTTAAGTAAAAAAAATGTTCCTGCATTGGTTTAAAACAGAACGTTTCACGATCCACCTGCAAACATTGTGACATACTATCACCAGTGCACTAAACAAAGTGTTTGTAATTCATTAACCAAAGTGCGATCATCCGTATAGTTTGTAATGACGTGAGGTTAGTTTGAAACCATGAAATGACATAATTGAGATTAGACGGGCGAAGCAGACTACACCTGTGAGGTTCGAGGGACAGAATGGGCGACACTGTGAGGTTCGAGGGGCTGAGTTGATACTATCAGCAAATCGGCATGGTAAATTATTAGATGGTATCTGTGGAAGAGTTCCGTAACAGAACCACACTGATCTTCCTCATGTCTTGTGTTTCCTAGGGGCTCTGATGTCATGGCCGTAACCCCCTGGTTGGCACCCATCATCTGGGAAGAAACCTTTAACCCTGAGCTGGTTGATGCCATATACAAGCCGATGAATCTCACCATCGCAACCACTGTGTTTGCTGTTGGAAAGTGAGCATAACTTTGGCAAGTGTAAAATCTATTCATATTAAGAGTTACTTTCAGAGCACTAATCTAAGCTTGTCTGTGTCTGTCTCTGGAAGGTATATCAGGTTTCTGGGTGAATTCTTGGAAACGGCAGAGAAGCACTTTATGGTTGACTTCAAAGTGCACTATCACATTTTCACTGACCAGCCGCAAGAAGTGCCAGCAGTGAATCTGGCTGCTGGAAGAAAAATCTTTGTCCATCAGGTGCCGAAGTTAGACCGCTGGCAGGACATCTCTGCTTCGAGGATGCAGATGATCCAGACCATCATTGAGGAGCAGGTTCACCGAGAGGCAGATTACATCTACTGCCAGGACGTCGATGCAAAATTCCACTTCCGCTGGGGTGCAGAGACACTGGATCGGCTGGTGGGCCAAATACACCCTTGGTACTATGATTTGAGTCGCGACCAGTTCACTTACGAACGGCGTCCTGAGTCTACGGCCTACATTCCCTCAGGGGTAGGAGACTTCTATTATATTGGAGCCATGTTTGGGGGCACAGTTGAGGATGTCTATAGACTGGTTAAAAAGTGTCATGAAAATATAGAAGCAGACAAAGCAAAGGGAATAGAGGCAGCCTGGCAGGAAGAGAGTCACCTAAACTGGTACCTGCTTCACAATAAACCGTCTAAGGTTCTGTCGCCGGAGTACATGTGGGATGACCAGAGGGGCAAAACAGAGGTTATGAGAGTCATTCGACTTTCACAAATCCTTAAGAACTATGGAGAAGTAAGAGAAAATGTGTAATGCTCACACTACTGAAGACACATCGTAGACTCAAATGTGGGTTATCTTTACTGTGGGCACTACTAGGGCATTACAACATTGTCTATCGTCTCCAGAAAGTTAGGCAATTGATGGTAATTTATGTAATAATTAGGGTTAGATAATTATTTGACGGTACATGTATTGACATTTTTGTAATAATATATGATTTCTAAAGTTTAAAATTAGTGGTGAGCTAATATGGAATTTTTGACAAATACAATATATTTTTGTTATTGTACAGATGACCGGATAACCTCTGAGCTGGGGGGGCAGCACACGTCAGTGCAATGATGTTTTTTATTTCCATTAATTAATGTTAGTCTTATTTTTTATTATGTGTAAAACAAAAGACCAATTTAATAAGAAATTAAAACAAGTCGCAGGCTGGGACCAGAATTGCCATCCAGCCTGTATTTAACGGGTCTTGTATTGTAAAATAAAATTCTGCATTCCGTTTTGAACCAAAATGGCCGGTGATCCAAGGCAATGTGATTACAGTGTTGGTGCCAGAGCATTGGGTTAGCATATGATCCATGTCCTTGATGGGCAGCATGTCAGAAAGCTCATTTGGAGGCACATGGCCCATGAACCTATTTCTTACAGATGGAGGAATATTTCAGTTTAACACAGTGGACAGAGATCATGGTGTCCTTGTTGACTCAGATCTACATTTTGATGCTTATCTAACAACAATAAATATAACTACCATCTATGGAACACTGTGGGCAGTGGTGGCTTAATGGTTAGGGACGTGCACTTGTAATTGAAAGATTGCAGGTTTGAATCCCTGACCAGCAAGGTACTTCCCCCAAGCACTGCTCCCCGGGTGCTGAATTAGCTGTCCCCTGCTATGTCACATATGGACATTGTGGTGTGTCAACAATGACAATTAATCACTAAATTCTAACACAGGTGAGCTTTGGAAGATGCTCTCCTTCCGTAATGCAGAGGCACTAATACGTGCCTTTATACCTGGGCTATTGTAATGCCCTCCTTTCTGGTAAATGCAGCTGGTATCTTACAAACAATAAAAGTCCTGTTCTATGCTTCCTTCCCTGGCTTCCAGTTAAGTCTTAAACTGATTACAAGATACTACAACTCAAGATGGTGAGTCAAAGTGATGGACTCTAGCTAACTGCTCACCGCAGCCAGGCCTATAGTGTGTGTCATGTATGATATCCATTACATCAAAAAATTTGTATTCAGGTTTGATATTTTTATACTGAATTGTGTTGTTGCCATATGGTTTTCAGTCTCTAAAGTGTGGTTTATCGATTACTTGCTTTTGTCTGATAAATTGATTTATTGGATTGCTTTATTACTTGTTTTATTGATTAATTGCTATATGAATTAATTGCTGTATTGCATTGGACCTGTAAATACTGTATTTATACAATCAGTATAACAGTAAATCTGTTATAATTGGTGTTTTGTTTATGGTTTGTTTTACTTTGGTTGTGGTTTATTTTCATTTTCTATTCATGCACTTTAAATAAATGACACACTTTGCATTTTGTCACTGTTTGCGAGTGGTATGACATGCAGCTTACGCTCACGTTACAGCTTAGCTGTGTTTGTGCGGGACATCTTTACAGTGTGGGGTGTTGAGCTAGGGGGGATCGGTGCCATTGGCTTTGGAAGAACTGAACTGTCAGTGTTGTCACTCTAGCTTCACCCCCCCT